CAGATTTGCTGACTTATGTCAGAAGGCCAAAGGGATACTTTGCTTCTGCCATGTCTCTTCTGTTGCAGTCCATATTCTTTTCAGGAGCTCGCAAATGTCTGTGCCCTGGAAGTCACACCTGAGATTCGGAAACATCACCTGAGATGCGAAAATTCTCGTTGACTCATTAGTGCATGCTCGTCTGTAGCTCGGCGATCAATGCAGCGACATGTATGCCCTTGAACTTGCGACCGTCAAGGCTAGTGGCCTAGTGCAGCTGCACCAGCTGAGGAGCGCGCCTTCGCTCTTACCACTGACACCGGGGCAGCCTTTGGTGGCTGTAAACAACTGCTAGTTGTCAAGGGCAACATTTAATCAGTTCTGTGTTCGCACGATCATTTTGCAATATCTTCATATATCTTCCAATTTGCTTGGTTTATTCATGTTGATTCCTACTTTTAAGTGTGGTACATGGGTGTTTTCCATCACTCTGCCTGTACTTCAGGGACAGCACCGCCCTGGTCGCCGTTCACCTGCAATCAGAAGCTCGGCTGATAAACCAGGTGCCTAGCTCTGTTGTTGGCAAGATCTTCCAATTTGGCCAAGACTATAACACTCACACTACAATTGACTATTATATCATATATATATATACATATATATGTATGTATATATTAGTATGTATGTATATATATATATATGTTTAATTGTATATATCTACTACAACAATGATATGCATTTCAAGCTAAACTCACATATATCAATGCAAGCATGATGTTTTCTCAAGCTGCCCGCCATGACAATGTTGCGGACATGGACAACATGTACAATGTACAATCGAGTGTTGAGACTATGACCGCAATACCAAACGCATGGGCAACTTTGTTTTTTTTTCACAATGCATTCTAATGCAGTTTTCATCCTCCGTTTTCACATGGCCATACAGAACAGAGCAGAAATACAGTACAATCAGTTACAATCCACATTATGAATCCAGTAAATCATTATAAGTGGATATGTGATGATATATGTCCATAGTTATATCTCGGCCCCATATCCCACCTTATTAATCTTATCAGATTTATCAATTCCAAGCCCAAAAGGGTCGTTCTCCAACGCGACATTTCGAAATTTCAACGTTTCCGCACCTGTTGAGCCAAGACCTCCTGTGTCGATAGCATGTCGCCTAGTTTCTCCCGCTGGGCAGCAATCTGTTGAAGCTCCGACTCCATGGCCGTAGCCTGGTCATGAGAGGCTCGGATGGTCATCACTTAAGGGTTGGTTTTTCCAAAAATAGCCATGGTATCTATGGTATCTATATACAGAATATGATATAATCCAACCATAACATGGAATCTGGCTGGAATATACAGTAGTATAATATAATAATCGAATATAGTGGAATGGATTGCTGATTCAAACAGGGCCCTGTTTCATCCTGTTTCATGGTGGCATTTCAGAGGTTGGCTGACCCGGGAACCCCCAAGGAGTGTTCACCTAGGCAACAAGCGCACCGTTGAAATTGTCATGGAAATCACAATGATCACAGCATGCGTGTGGATACCAATAGGAAATCATGAAAATCATGACTATTGTTATCGGCTTGAGAACTCGAAGTGTGCATCCCAATCAAGCTGTCTCATCCAAAGACATGTGAGATCATGTGAGTATCTTTCCTGCAGATTTCTTCAAACAGAAACTTCTAAAACCATGGCTCCGAGTCAAAAAATTTGTGGTGACACGGTACAGCCAAAAATTGCCATCTCTGCTGCCCAAATGCTCCATGCACGGCCATCAGAGTCCTGCACTGCGACTTCTGAGGAACACAAGTCGCCATTGCAGGAGCTGTTGCTTACGTTCGGCAACTGGGACGAGTATATATAATACACCATTCATGGATGCTGGATTCTTGGGGATAGTGCTGAACAGCCACTACTTCCGTGCTTGTCGGATGTCAAGCTTTGCTTTTCAAGGAACTTATTTTGCTGCTTTCATCCAAAGCTCCTAACAAACAAAACCGTATGAACCGGGACAGAATCCCCAAAAACAACACTAGTACTGCTTCAGCAACCCTACACCTCATACTTCCCTGAAAGCGAAGAGCGGCCTCTGCCTCAGTAGCTTCCAATGAGGGTAATTTCGACCTGCAGGGATGAGCTAAGAAAGAACGACGACGAAGATAAGTATATGATATTCAGGGCTATTATGTAGCTATATGATAGATTATAGTGATTATAGTACATAGATTACCGGTGTGGTCACTGCTACTGCATGCTACTGCTACTGGTCATTCTTGCTTGTATGATAGATTATAGTTCTTATAGTGAAATATTAGATGATTGTAGTAGAGTTGAATGTAGTTAAGTTGTAATATTGTATCTGTACTTGAGAGCAGGCGGAGGCGGACGAAAGGTAGTGTAGTGGGAGAGGAGTGGTGTCAAAATGCTGCGCCCCTAAGATGATACACCAAAAACGTTTTTGCGCAGTCTAAGATGATTTTATCCAGAGCATGACTGCATGACACTGTGTCTTGTGCTGCGTGAAATGATGCACGAAAAGGGGTTGATTTAAAACCCTTTTTAAGACCCCTTGCAGCAACTGTTATTGAGGCTGAAGCATACCAATTATGCTGGACTACAGGGACATCTCCCTCATGGAAAGTGTGCCTCTAATGTGGGGGCCCGTGACCGCGTCACCCGTGGGAATTGAACCCATGACCATTTTCGGGGGGGGGGGCCCCCCCTTATAATTGATATCCAATACATAACGGCGAGAATTCCATGAATTGCACGGGCTGGCCCCCCAATACCCCCTAAGCTTGTGCTGAAGCACGGAGAACTCAGGTAGCTGACGCTACCTTTCGTGACCTTTCGTGATTATATCATATTGAAATATTGAATGATTACGGAATACGGTGTCAAAATGCAACCTGTTCCCTTTCCATAGCCACATTCGGCCACCCTGGTCGCATCGTTGCCAGGCTAGGCAAGTGCGGGGCCTGGGACCAGGTCTGGCTGAAATCACCACCCCAAAAGCCACCGGTTTTCGTGTTCGTTTATCGTGGGTTTATGATGTTTTATGATCATGTTTCCAAGGAAAATCTGGCAATTTGGGATCCGGATATCCCGGATTCCAGACACGCCCAGCGAAACTTGCACAAAACCCATTTCCAAGAAGGAAAACAAAATGAACAACTCTCAACACTTCCGACAGGCACTTGCTCAGTCTTTTTTCTCTGTAAGGCTATCTGCAGCACATGAAGGTGCGAGTGAAGCTGTGGAAGTGTCCATTTCATGAAACTCAGGGCCAAATGCCCGTGAGTCCAAAGGGCCCCTTCCATTCAACAGCGATCGTCGCTAATCATCACGTCTCTTCAACGTGTAGTGAAACTGCAAAATGCTAAGGACACGGCTCAAAACCTCAAAATCATGGTACCCTCAAAATTGCATAGAATATGAACTTATACTAAAATATAAAATGTTAATACTATTTCAGAAAGGGGCCTCTTTTAATATATAATGTTCATACTAAAAAATGCCCCTTTCTTTAGTCAATTGATTCTCGGCTGAGCCATCGCCGGCTCAAACGACAACGTTTTCCGTTCCACACAGGGAAACGCCCGGCTGGCGCCAGACTTCCTGGCGGATGCCATGGGATGCCAAATTTCAATGGGAACCGTGGGATTTGAGGTTCCAAACTTTGAGACCCCAGATGTAATTACAATGGGGATGTCTTCTGCCGGAAAAAATTGCCAATGGGTCGTGAGACGTTGGTTTGGAGATGTTTGATGGACCAGGCATGACAGCGCAACATCAATCTTAAGCATCTTTCAACCAAAATTCTACTTCACACCCACATTATTTACACACATCTCTGGTGATCTGATTCTACCGTCCCACGCAACGCCCAAGATTTTTCGCTTTCTGCCTGCGGGACACCTCCGCAAACACCAATGCCTTCGTGCTGGTCCCTGATTTGCGCCCCGGTTGGATGTCTGGATGGGAATTCGCCTTTGGTATGAACATGTGTAAATCTGTGTAAACCTTGAGCTATGGAAAGTCGCAGTGCGCCTCTAACATCCTACCATGCCAAACCAAGCAACCACATGGAAATTGTTGAGCCCCCGCTGGTGTGCTCCCTACCTTGTGGCACAGGAGACTTGTCGGGCATTCATTCCTGTTCCTCTGAAGCCCACGATGTTCTCGGAGCGGTCATCGAAATGCCACACCTCCGAGGTAGAGATGTTGATATTCTGCTTGGACAGCCTTGGACACATGAAACCGAACCAACCAGTGGATCATGGTCCAGTAAACCCCAAAAGAACAACCATCACCACAAATGCCCATGGCGCACAAAATTGACAGGACCTTGTGGATTGAAGACCTCGCCCATTTTTCCATGCCACGCTTGTTTTGAAAGTGATATTGAACCCATGTACTTCCTTTCCTCCCAGCTTTGTAGCTGAGAAACCAGGAAAGGATGCCCTTAGCTGCCTGCTGCTTGGTTCCATCCAGACAGCCTGCACGGGTGGTTCACCATTCGAAAATTCATCAACTCGACTGGCTCAGAGATAAAAGAAGAGAATATCAATGTAGATAGATAGATAATTTAGATAGATGTTTTAGAAGTAGTAGAGAATAATATCAATTATCTATGTTTGAAATGTTTCAAAAAATGTAGATGGATAATTTCAAACATTGAAACCACCAGCCTGCAACCAGCATGGATTGCGCATCCGCTGGCACGCAAGCCCTTCGAGCTTCACCACCAGCAGAGGGGCCCGACCTGAGACCCGATACACAACCAATGAACACCCGGGTTCGATGAACCACAAAAATGCTGAAAAAGTGAGGACTGAGGATAGATGCCAAAGAAAAGAACTGGCGACGTCTTCAATCAACAAAACTGGGGAGAACATCAACAAAAACCGGGACGTAAACCAATGAAGGGGAGTAGGGAAGCGTAGCAATGAAGTAGGGAATGAACAGAGCGATGTGATGAGCCATGGTCATGACTTCATCTTGAACTTCATCTAACCACCAGAAACAATACTCTCTGGTAATTTTAACATACATTAGCTATGGAAAATGGCCCAGTTATAGATGATTTAGCTATTAACAATGGTAATTATCCATAATTATGTATAGTGTGTGTATATATATATATATTATTATTATTATATATATAATATTTATATATAATATTATATATATACTATATATTATATCCATTATATATAGCTATGTTAAATTACCAGAGGGTATCTTCCATCCCTGGTGCAAGAACTCTGAGACCCAAGGCCATTGGCGGGAGAGCAGCTGGCTCTGCGGAAACCTCTCAAGTAAGGCGTTTCTTTCCTGCACATGAAACTAGCAGGGCGCTGGCAATTTGGAGGTTTCCTAAAATGGGGGGTACCCCCAAAATGGATGGTTTAAAATGGAAAATCCGTTTGTTGGAGTTGATGACACAGAAAAAACATACCAAAACGGGCCTGCTCTCTGCCCGATTGGCTTCAGTTGGAAAAAAATGTTCCTGTACATGCATTAGAAAAAGAACTGCATAATATCAAAGCATCGTCTCTACATCTTGCAGTATCCAAGATTGACCAAAAGCTGCAAGAACCTCGCAAGAAGAAACGAATTGAGCAGTGTTCAAAGCTCGTTGTCGTCCCTTTACACTATAACACTATATACTTGTTCATATAGTTCCCCACAATGGATTGTGAAAATCCCCAAGAGATTCGATATTATAACATATTACTAACATACCAGTAGTACCGCACAAGGCGGTGGCGGAAGTTTCAAAAATAGGAAACCTATAGGAGAGGTTGGTTGTTGTGAATCAGGGGTGGCAAAGCGAATCCACTGATGGACCGAAAGGTGCTTGAGGTCTGCTCTCTGTCTCTCCTCTTGCTCTTACATCTCACCTACCTATCTATCTTCTATGTATCTATCGATCTGCTAATCTATCCTCTCTCTCTCTTTCTCTCTTTCTTCTCTGTCATCTAAGTACCTATCTACCTATCTACCTATCTACCTATCTACCTTCTACCTAGGTAGATAGGTAGATAGGTAATTAGATAAAGAGAGAAAGAGAGAAAGAGAGAGAGAGATAGATTCTAGATAGATAGATACATAGAAGATAGATAGGTAGGTAGATAGTCAGAGAAAGAGAGACAGAGAGCAGACCTCAAGCACCTTTCGGTCCATCAGTGGATTCGCTTTGCCACCCCTGATTCACAACAACCAACCTCTCCTATAGGTTTCCTATTTTTGAAACTTCCGCCACCGCCTTGTGCGGTACTACTGGTATGTTAGTAATATGTTATAATATCGAATCTCTTGGGGATTTTCACAATCCATTGTGGGGAACTATATGAACAAGTATATAGTGTTATAGTGTAAAGGGACGACAACGAGCTTTGAACACTGCTCAATTCGTTTCTTCTTGCGAGGTTCTTGCAGCTTTTGGTCAATCTTGGATACTGCAAGATGTAGAGACGATGCTTTGATATTATGCAGTTCTTTTTCTAATGCATGTACAGGAACATTTTTTTCCAACTGAAGCCAATCGGGCAGAGAGCAGGCCCGTTTTGGTATGTTTTTTCTGTGTCATCAACTCCAACAAACGGATTTTCCATTTTAAACCATCCATTTTGGGGGTACCTCCCATTTTAGGAAACCTCCAAATTGCCAGCGCCCTGCTAGTTTCATGTGCAGGAAAGAAACGCCTTACTTGAGAGGTTTCCGCAGAGCCAGCTGCTCTCCCGCCAATGGCCTTGGGTCTCAGAGTTCTTGCACCAGGGATGGAAGATACCCTCTGGTAATTTAACATAGCTATATATAATGGATATAATATATAGTATATATATATAATATTATATATAAATATTATATATATATAATAATAATATATATATATACATACACTATACATAATTATGGATAATTACCATTGTTAATAGCTAAATCATCTATAACTGGGCCATTTTCCATAGCTAATGTATGTTAAAATTACCAGAGAGTATTCTGGTGGTTAGATGAAGTTCAAGATGAAGTCATGACCATGGCTCATCACATCGCTCTGTTCATTCCCTACTTCATTGCTACGCTTCCCTACTCCCCTTCATTGGTTTACGTCCCGGTTTTTGTTGATGTTCTCCCCAGTTTTGTTGATTGAAGACGTCGCCAGTTCTTTTCTTTGGCATCTATCCTCAGTCCTCACTTTTTCAGCATTTTTGTGGTTCATCGAACCCGGGTGTTCATTGGTTGTGTATCGGGTCTCAGGTCGGGCCCCTCTGCTGGTGGTGAAGCTCGAAGGGCTTGCGTGCCAGCGGATGCGCAATCCATGCTGGTTGCAGGCTGGTGGTTTCAATGTTTGAAATTATCCATCTACATTTTTTGAAACATTTCAAACATAGATAATTGATATTATTCTCTACTACTTCTAAAACATCTATCTAAATTATCTATCTATCTACATTGATATTCTCTTCTTTTATCTCTGAGCCAGTCGAGTTGATGAATTTTCGAATGGTGAACCACCCGTGCAGGCTGTCTGGATGGAACCAAGCAGCAGGCAGCTAAGGGCATCCTTTCCTGGTTTCTCAGCTACAAAGCTGGGAGGAAAGGAAGTACATGGGTTCAATATCACTTTCAAAACAAGCGTGGCATGGAAAAATGGGCGAGGTCTTCAATCCACAAGGTCCTGTCAATTTTGTGCGCCATGGGCATTTGTGGTGATGGTTGTTCTTTTGGGGTTTACTGGACCATGATCCACTGGTTGGTTCGGTTTCATGTGTCCAAGGCTGTCCAAGCAGAATATCAACATCTCTACCTCGGAGGTGTGGCATTTCGATGACCGCTCCGAGAACATCGTGGGCTTCAGAGGAACAGGAATGAATGCCCGACAAGTCTCCTGTGCCACAAGGTAGGGAGCACACCAGCGGGGGCTCAACAATTTCCATGTGGTTGCTTGGTTTGGCATGGTAGGATGTTAGAGGCGCACTGCGACTTTCCATAGCTCAAGGTTTACACAGATTTACACATGTTCATACCAAAGGCGAATTCCCATCCAGACATCCAACCGGGGCGCAAATCAGGGACCAGCACGAAGGCATTGGTGTTTGCGGAGGTGTCCCGCAGGCAGAAAGCGAAAAATCTTGGGCGTTGCGTGGGACGGTAGAATCAGATCACCAGAGATGTGTGTAAATAATGTGGGTGTGAAGTAGAATTTTGGTTGAAAGATGCTTAAGATTGATGTTGCGCTGTCATGCCTGGTCCATCAAACATCTCCAAACCAACGTCTCACGACCCATTGGCAATTTTTTCCGGCAGAAGACATCCCCATTGTAATTACATCTGGGGTCTCAAAGTTTGGAACCTCAAATCCCACGGTTCCCATTGAAATTTGGCATCCCATGGCATCCGCCAGGAAGTCTGGCGCCAGCCGGGCGTTTCCCTGTGTGGAACGGAAAACGTTGTCGTTTGAGCCGGCGATGGCTCAGCCGAGAATCAATTGACTAAAGAAAGGGGCATTTTTTAGTATGAACATTATATATTAAAAGAGGCCCCTTTCTGAAATAGTATTAACATTTTATATTTTAGTATAAGTTCATATTCTATGCAATTTTGAGGGTACCATGATTTTGAGGTTTTGAGCCGTGTCCTTAGCATTTTGCAGTTTCACTACACGTTGAAGAGACGTGATGATTAGCGACGATCGCTGTTGAATGGAAGGGGCCCTTTGGACTCACGGGCATTTGGCCCTGAGTTTCATGAAATGGACACTTCCACAGCTTCACTCGCACCTTCATGTGCTGCAGATAGCCTTACAGAGAAAAAAGACTGAGCAAGTGCCTGTCGGAAGTGTTGAGAGTTGTTCATTTTGTTTTCCTTCTTGGAAATGGGTTTTGTGCAAGTTTCGCTGGGCGTGTCTGGAATCCGGGATATCCGGATCCCAAATTGCCAGATTTTCCTTGGAAACATGATCATAAAACATCATAAACCCACGATAAACGAACACGAAAACCGGTGGCTTTTGGGGTGGTGATTTCAGCCAGACCTGGTCCCAGGCCCCGCACTTGCCTAGCCTGGCAACGATGCGACCAGGGTGGCCGAATGTGGCTATGGAAAGGGAACAGGTTGCATTTTGACACCGTATTCCGTAATCATTCAATATTTCAATATGATATAATCACGAAAGGTCACGAAAGGTAGCGTCAGCTACCTGAGTTCTCCGTGCTTCAGCACAAGCTTAGGGGGTATTGGGGGGCCAGCCCGTGCAATTCATGGAATTCTCGCCGTTATGTATTGGATATCAATTATAGGGGGGGGGGGGGCCCCCCCCCCCCCCGAAAATGGTCATGGGTTCAATTCCCACGGGTGACGCGGTCACGGGCCCCCGCATTAGAGGCACACTTTCCATGAGGGAGATGTCCCTGTAGTCCAGCATAATTGGTATGCTTCAGCCTCAATAACAGTTGCTGCAAGGGGTCTTAAAAAGGGGTTTTGAATAAACCCCTTTTCGTGCATCATTTCACGCTGCACAAGACACCGTATGATGCAGTCATGCTCTGGATAAAATCATCTTAGACTGCGCAAAAACGTTTTTGGTGTATCATCTTAGGGGCGCAGCATTTTGACACCACTCCTCTCCCACTACACTACCTTTCGTCCGCCTCCGCCTGCTCTCAAGTACAGATACAATATTACAACTTAACTACATTCAACTCTACTACAATCATCTAATATTTCACTATAAGAACTATAATCTATCATGCAAGCAAGAATGACCAGTAGCAGTAGCATGCAGTAGCAGTGACCACACCGGTAATCTATGTACTATAATCACTATAATCTATCATATAGCTACATAATAGCCCTGAATATCATATACTTATCTTCGTCGTCGTTCTTTCTTAGCTCATCCCTGCAGGTCGAAATTACCCTCATTGGAAGCTACTGAGGCAGAGGCCGCTCTTCGCTTTCAGGGAAGTATGAGGTGTAGGGTTGCTGAAGCAGTACTAGTGTTGTTTTTGGGGATTCTGTCCCGGTTCATACGGTTTTGTTTGTTAGGAGCTTTGGATGAAAGCAGCAAAATAAGTTCCTTGAAAAGCAAAGCTTGACATCCGACAAGCACGGAAGTAGTGGCTGTTCAGCACTATCCCCAAGAATCCAGCATCCATGAATGGTGTATTATATATACTCGTCCCAGTTGCCGAACGTAAGCAACAGCTCCTGCAATGGCGACTTGTGTTCCTCAGAAGTCGCAGTGCAGGACTCTGATGGCCGTGCATGGAGCATTTGGGCAGCAGAGATGGCAATTTTTGGCTGTACCGTGTCACCACAAATTTTTTGACTCGGAGCCATGGTTTTAGAAGTTTCTGTTTGAAGAAATCTGCAGGAAAGATACTCACATGATCTCACATGTCTTTGGATGAGACAGCTTGATTGGGATGCACACTTCGAGTTCTCAAGCCGATAACAATAGTCATGATTTTCATGATTTCCTATTGGTATCCACACGCATGCTGTGATCATTGTGATTTCCATGACAATTTCAACGGTGCGCTTGTTGCCTAGGTGAACACTCCTTGGGGGTTCCCGGCTCAGCCAACCTCTGAAATGCCACCATGAAACAGGATGAAACAGGGCCCTGTTTGAATCAGCAATCCATTCCACTATATTCGATTATTATATTATACTACTGTATATTCCAGCCAGATTCCATGTTATGGTTGGATTATATCATATTCTGTATATAGATACCATAGATACCATGGCTATTTTTGGAAAAACCAACCCTTAAGTGATGACCATCCGAGCCTCTCATGACCAGGCTACGGCCATGGAGTCGGAGCTTCAACAGATTGCTGCCCAGCGGGAGAAACTAGGCGACACGCTATCGACACAGGAGGTCTTGGCTCAACAGGTGCGGAAACGTTGAAATTTCGAAATGTCGCGTTGGAGAACGACCCTTTTGGGCTTGGAATTGATAAATCTGATAAGATTAATAAGGTGGGATATGGGGCCGAGATATAACTATGGACATATATCATCACATATCCACTTATAATGATTTACTGGATTCATAATGTGGATTGTAACTGATTGTACTGTATTTCTGCTCTGTTCTGTATGGCCATGTGAAAACGGAGGATGAAAACTGCATTAGAATGCATTGTGAAAAAAAACAAAGTTGCCCATGCGTTTGGTATTGCGGTCATAGTCTCAACACTCGATTGTACATTGTACATGTTGTCCATATCCGCAACATTGTCATGGCGGGCAGCTTGAGAAAACATCATGCTTGCATTGATATATGTGAGTTTAGCTTGAAATGCATATCATTGTTGTAGTAGATATATACAATTAAACATATATATATATATACATACATACTAATATATACATACATATATATGTATATATATATATGATATAATGGTCAATTGTAGTGTGAGTGTTATAGTCTTGGCCAAATTGGAAGATCTTGCCAACAACAGAGCTAGGCACCTGGTTTATCAGCCGAGCTTCTGATTGCAGGTGAACGGCGACCAGGGCGGTGCTGTCCCTGAAGTACAGGCAGAGTGATGGAAAACACCCATGTACCACACTTAAAAGTAGGAATCAACATGAATAAACCAAGCAAATTGGAAGATATATGAAGATATTGCAAAATGATCGTGCGAACACAGAACTGATTAAATGTTGCCCTTGACAACTAGCAGTTGTTTACAGCCACCAAAGGCTGCCCCGGTGTCAGTGGTAAGAGCGAAGGCGCGCTCCTCAGCTGGTGCAGCTGCACTAGGCCACTAGCCTTGACGGTCGCAAGTTCAAGGGCATACATGTCGCTGCATTGATCGCCGAGCTACAGACGAGCATGCACTAATGAGTCAACGAGAATTTTCGCATCTCAGGTGATGTTTCCGAATCTCAGGTGTGACTTCCAGGGCACAGACATTTGCGAGCTCCTGAAAAGAATATGGACTGCAACAGAAGAGACATGGCAGAAGCAAAGTATCCCTTTGGCCTTCTGACATAAGTCAGCAAATCTGGCCCTGAAACGCCACATTTCGGCACCATGGGAGCCTTCGGTGACGTTTGGCAAGTGATGAAGATCTACTGGTCGCTGTTGTTGGGTAATGTTTTGGAATGGCACCTGGGTCTTCTGGCTTCATATGAACATTTTCCATCCCTTGAGATGTTGATCCCCTACAAAATTGTGGCTCCAATCCATCAAACATCAACATCAAAGATCCATCATTCAGATCCATCAAATGTGGTTTAATTCGCATCAACATCATAACTTAACATCACATCCATCATGAATATATGAACATTCCCGACAACAACTTCCAAAAAACATCAACATCAACATCATAACATCAATCAGAACAGTTCCATCAACATCAATCAGAACAGCTCCATCAACATCAGGTACGAATTCGCGGTCGATGGTTTCTTGGCACCCTATTTCCAGAGCAACTTCTTCGCGGGTTCCGCCATCAGCACCTGGTTGGGCTTCGCATCCACCTTCCTGGCGCGGCCCTTCGGGGGCATTGTTTTGGGAGTGCTTGGAGACCTCTTTGGACGGAAGGCGCGAAACGCGAAACAGGAACTCAAGGGGATGGGAACCTGGGAACTTGGAATTTCCAGCATTTCTTTTTTTATTTTGGAATATATGTCTGATCGTTTTATATAGTTTTCATGACTTTTGTGAAACCTTTTTGGATACTGTCCGGTTTCCTGTGATGATTTAAGAGGGATTCGGCTGCTGTGTTTGTCTGGAGGGGAAACATCCCCATTTGTCTGGCAGGTCTCTACATTTCTGTCCATCTTCGGAATGTTGATCGGAACTGTAGGACAAGGGCTGGTTCCAACCTCTCACAGTGGTCCAATCGCAGGGACCATTGGTGTAGTACTACTTGTTGCACTCCGCATTTTGCAAGGCATCTGTACTGGTGGAGAAATAGCGGCCGTGTCCACCTACATCACGGAAGTTGGGCCGAAACGATCACTGGCCAGATCCATGGTTCTCATCGGCATCACCTGCAACGTGGGCTTCTTGCTGGCTCAGTTTGCAAGCTATGCAGCGTTGAAGATTCTAGGGGAAGAGACCATGGTCAGTTGGGGCTGGCGGATTCCTTTCTTTTTGGCGCTTCTTCCAGGGGTCATTGCTGCATCTGGTAGGAGATGCATACCGGAAAGCCGCAGTTTCCTGGAGGCGCAAGCGAATACTGCGGAGACTCAGGCGCCTCAAAGGGATCCTGAGTTGGTTCGTTGCGAATGAGGTCTAGTAGATCATGTAGATCATTGGATATTACATGATATTAAATATTAGATTATTATTTACATTACAAAGTTTGTATCTTAGTCGAAAAATCAGTTTTCTTTTGGGTCTTAGGGTTTTTTCCTAAGTGAGGAGGTGATTCCTCCAATCCTGACGCCAGGCGGGAGCTCCTCGTTCTGCACTTCGAGACGCTGCCAGCAAGATCAAGTCACTTTTCAGGTTTCACCGACCTGCGCTTTTAGTTGCTTGGACTATTGGATAGAGAATCACTGGAATGGATTCGATATGATTTGATGTAATTGATATATATATAATTATATATATATATATAATTATATATATAATTATATATATATATATATTGTAGAGCTTCGCACACCGGCGATGCCTGTAGGGGTCGGGGGAGGGAAAGAGAGAGGGTCGTTGTCGTTGTCGTTGTCCTTGTTGTCCTTGTTGTCGTCGTTGTCGTCGTTGTCGTCATCGTCATTGTCGTCGTCGTCGTCGTTGTCGTTGTTGTCGTCGTTGTTGTTGTTGTTGCTTCTGGTCCTCCTTCTCGTTCTCGTTCTTGTTCTTGTTCGTGTTGTCGTTGTCGTTGTCGTTGTCCTTGTTGTCGTCGTTGTCGTCATTGTCGTTGTCGTCGTCGTTGTCATTGTTGTCGTCGTCTTCGTCGTCGTCGGCGGCGGCGTCGTCGTCGTCGTTGTTGTTGTTCTTGTTGTTATAGCTGTTGCTGCTTGGTCCTGTTGTCGTTGTCGTTGTTATCTTTGTAGTTGGTACTTTTTGCAAACCCCCCAAAATCGTCAAATAGACGGTTTTTGCAAACCCCCAAAAAGCGTCAAATAGGCGGTGTTTTCGCGATTTTTCACGTTCTCGGAACAAAAAACACCGTAAATACCGATGTTTTTGGCTCCGCACCAACGCAAAACCACGGTATTTACGAGGTTTTGAGCCTCTGCTAGCAAAAATCACGGTATTTACAGTGTTTTGTGGCCCGGGCCTAGCAAAAACACTGGTATTTACGCAGTTTCCAGCATGTTGTCAGAAGCTTTTTTTGGATGCCAAAGGCACAAAAACATTGTAAATTACAGGATTTTTACGCGTGGACAGTACCAAAAAAATATGAAAAATTGACCAAAAATCGACCAAAAAACGCTCAACAAGGACCTCCAAAACGCATCTTCGAATTTTACCATCTTTTTTCCCATCCCGAACCCCGAAAAACGTGAAAACCCAAGCACCCTGAAGGATTTTCGGAAAGGGTCGGCGGCAGGGGCGCGCCTCCGGGTAGATAAAGCTATGCGCTTAGCAACACCACCAAACGGCGAGGCATCGCCGGATTTAAGGGGCTGACGCCCAACAGCGGGCCAGCAGGCCAAAAGGTCCAGGGTGGGATCAGCAGCAGCCGCAGCAGCAGCAGCATCATCATCATCATCAGCAGCATCATCAGCAGCAACAGTCGCAACAACGCATCAGCATCATCATCATCATCATTATCATCATCATCATCATCATCATCATCACCATCATCATCATGATCATCATCATCATCATCATCATCATGATCATCAGCATCATCGTCATCACCACCAGCAGTCTCAACAACAACAACAACAACAACAACAACAACAACAACAACAACAACAACAACAACAACAACAACAACAACAACAACAACAACAACAACATACAACAACATACAACAACATACAACAACATACAACAACAAACAAC